TATACATTGCACAACAATGAAACAGCTGGCCAGGCGTTTCACTGCTGCATTAGACAATCAGATGACCTGCTATTTGTTTTCCTGTACAATACTGCTTTTCATCCACTACAGTAAAATCTATGTATGTAAATATGACTCTCCTCTCCTCCAGTATGTCCAGGGAGCTTGCATTTGTACTGTATACATTTGGGGTAATTCAATTTGACCACAGCAAACTGCACCAATTAGAAACACAACATCAAACCATGCAGATAATGGAGGATAGTGCTGTGCTCTACCAAAAATACCTTTGCAGCAGCATTTACTGGACAGAAGCAGTGAGAGGCAGCATTTCTCCACCTGGCTAAGCTGTGATCTCCCTATCTCATTTTGGTGGAGTCATTTTGAGAAAAGCCAAACAAGCCAGAGCACAGAAAATGAAGATGGAAGAAGCCTTGGATTACTTGTTTATGCTGCTGCTGCATCTTTCCTGCTCTTGCTGAGGAGGGAATATTGTGAATGAGGCAGCAGAACAGCTGAGTGAGATTAACAAGTGGTTGCCATGCAGCAGAAGCAAGCTTGTGCATGTTTCTGGGGGGAGAGATAAAGAAAGAAAATGATAATGAGTAGGAGGCAGCAAGAAAGGGAGCATGAGGAGAGGAGCTGTATCTCTGAGAAGAGTCACGTATTATAGCCGGATCCAGCCTCTCCCTCCTCTATTTCTCTCTTTAGCTTTTTGTTTAGATGAGAGGTTAGCCTAGCACATCCAGTATGCCAGCAGTGGATGGATTAATGGATATATATCTGAGGGTTCTAAGATGGAGGAGTTGTTTGCAAGAAACAGCAGCAACAGGTCTATAAGAATGGAACAATAATGACGGTGAGGTGATTGCTTTTTCTTCCTTACACATCCACACTAGAGAATCTGTCAATGCAGTCTTTTCTCTTTTGCCCTACCTCACTCCCTCCCCCTCTCATGTCTCTCACCATACATACTTGTGCAGCATCTTCTTCATCATTCTCTTTCCTTCTCCTTCATCTGTCTTTCCTAATTCTCAGTTCATTCACCAGTCCTCCCTTTCTTATCTAACCCCCCACCCCACTTGATCCACCTGCTGCTTGTGTTCACATGAAATATTTGGGAGGTAAAGAATGACAGAAGCAGACTTCCACTTTGGTGACCGCACCAATTTTGTTGATTATGTTTGCTCATATACCACCACTCTCTTGTCTAATAAAATTACACTGTCTGCAACACGCAACAGGTAGAGAGCCTTTTCTTCTAAACCAAACATGCATAACATCATATCACATGATGTTTTCACTGATATCTTACTGTTTTGCCTATGTGTAACAGCTGGCTATGCACTGCGACACACTGTAATTTAAATTCCTGAACCAATTTTCCTTTAGTCTCCCTCACTCTTCTGTTAATATTTGTGTTTTGTAATTTTCTCTAATATTCTAAGAGGAAATAAGGTGAATGAATGATCATAGTCTCTGGATATCTGCTTGATACCACATTCATAAGAGTTTATTTACACATACCTTATACCTGTAATTTCTGTATTTCCTATTTCGCACAGCCTATTGCAGTGTATGTGTTAAATGTGGTCATATTTAAATAGGTTCAATAAATGGACCCTTTCTGCACAAGAGACAGCACTAACCTGAAGCCATCATGTAATCTCTGTCCAGGTAACATGCAGGCTTCTAAACGCCTGACCCTATCAGAAGAGAGATGAGGCACCTAGATGTTGGTTTACCATGTTTAGTGTCCACTACAACCACTCCATTGCTGCCATGAGCGGAAACGACGTGATGGCGCACTCTCTGACTCTGGAGCAGAAGACAGCGTTTGCCTTCGTAGGGATGTTAATGGTGTTCCTGGGGCTGCTGATAATAAGGTGTTTCAGGATTCTGCTGGACCCCTACAGCAGTATGCCCTCTTCCAACTGGTCTGATGGCATCGAGGGGCTCGAGAAAGGGACGTTTGAGTACGCCCTTACTTAACACAGGGACACACACAGACAGAAATGTCTATAGACACACATGCACGTACACTTGGACACAAATATACTTGCACACATACAAACACGCATAAGACACAACCCTTCCTAACCTGTGCACCTGCCATTGACACACCAGTAAGACATCTTTCTGTGACAGACTCAACTTAGAGACTGAAGCTGTGTATGTTTCAGTGTGTGCGCACTGCTGGTTCAAAGCCAGTGGAACAACTCTCTGCTGTGACTACATGCCTTTTGTGTGTGAAAGGCAGATGCTGTGCTATATTTTTTGCCCTTTCACCACTGGGTATGCATATGCATTTCAGCTCATCAATTTACATGGAAATGGCTGGAGTGCCCTTTAACCCAAACCTATAAGTTGAATATCTGTAGATGATAAGAGGTGGATGCTGATGAGACAGGATGTGGAATTAGGGTGCAGTGGGATTAATCAGATATAATTTGGAGACTCAGGG